TTGTACACCCGAAGACCACCCCTGCGCCGCACTGTACATCCAAGCCCGCCAGCTATGGAGGCTGGGCTAAGGCGCTGCCCTCAGCAGCGCCCTCCTCCTTGCACGACCCACACGCTTGCACCTCGCCTCTCAGCGCTAGCAGCAGGCCACGAGCTTCTGCTCCAGCAGCGCTGCAGCCAACATGTGAGTGCCCGAATGCCCTGCCAGCCAGCGAGCTCTTTCCTATATGGAAAAGAGCTGGCCTGGCTTCGCAGTCTGGCTGCACTGGGCCAGGGCCCAGAAGCTTCCGGTAGGCCCCAGGATGCTGCGCCTCTAGTGCAGCTACTGGGCCTCCTTCGGTTGGGCCTTCCAACTGTCTGTGTATGAGGCTGCGAATCTCGCCCAGGGCCTGTGCTTTCGGAAAGGCCTAGAAGGCCTGGGAATTTCCACGCTGCTCGACCGGTGTTTTCCTTCAACCAACTGGCGCGACGCAACTGCCTGGACCCCAAATACGAAATTGACAGCCAACGGCCTCTCGTAATTTGTTAGGCCCGCCTTCACTTAGGGCGGGCACATTTGCTGCAGGGGCCCCTTAGGCCTGCCGAGGACCCAGATCATTGCATATGCGACATATGGTCATTATTGCTGTTATCTAGACGGAAACTTGCCCCGAATGCAGGCATAATTACCGTACGTTCTATTCGGGGGATGACGATAAAAATGAGCAAAATTTGATATGTCCTGGAAGCTTGCCAATGCACCTCGGCGTGTGTACGGCCGCAATTTGGGGAAGTACTTGTGGTTTAAACCACCACCAGTTCACACGAACCTACGTACTATGTAGTGCTCTTACCAGTATACACAGTACGAGCTCTTCGATTTGAACCTGTGCTAATGGGCCACATTTGATGTGTCCTGGAAGCTTGCCAATGCAACCCGCCGCGTTTACGGCCGCACTTTGGGGAAGTACTACTGCCAGTGGTGGTTTAAACCACCAGTTCACACAAACCTAAGTAGTGCTCTTGCCGGTATATGCGGTAAGCGCTTTTCGATTTGGGCCTGTGCCTGTAATGAACACGGCAGGCCACTTTGCAAAGGCGCAGTTGCGGGCTCGCAAGCCTCGGAAGATACTATCTGGATGCATGGCCATTGCATGGGCCAAAACTTCTGAATCTAGTCCCAGTAAGAGCTATTATACATTGTATATTACTGCAACTTTTAATACATTTTATGCAGAGTAGTCACGCCGACGGTCGGCACCGCTGGATTGGTCGGGGGCCGACCAGCCGACCAACTGACTGGTCGGCACCTACCGGTCGGGGATCGGTCGGCACCCCGCAAAAAAAAAATAAAAATTTGAAGGGTCCAGAACCCCAAATAACCCCATCAACACCCCC